CAGTTTAAAACATTAATTAAATAATTATAAATTAATTTTTACAGTCAATTTAGGATGTATGGTGTTATGTTGTCATGTCAACAAAGTTGTAAAATTGGATAAATCTTTACAAAGAATAGTTTGGCAAGCATTTTTTACCTCACACTAAAATTATGTTAACACATATTGTTCATCTTGTGTTTATACTGTTGAAAAGTATTTTAAATGTTTATGTATTGGCTTATTTAAGGAAAACATAATTATAACAATGTCACAAGTGCTATCAATTGTATTTAACCAGAATATTCCTTAAACCTGCAAAATTTAATTGGTCAGCTTAGTCTTGTTAAGTTCTGTTGGTCAGCCAAGTTTAACTGCAAGTCTTAGAAAGTCTCAGTTTTATTGTAGTATTGTATACCATTACAGTATTTTGAAATAACTTTTTTTATTATTATTTTCAGGTTTAATTTTAACATCAGTTTATTTATTTATTTTAGAATTTTGCTATTTTTATTATTTTGTTTATTTCCCTTTACATTTTATTAATTTATTTGTATTTCAGTTTTAGTACATCAACTTACACTTATTTTACACTGTAACACTTATTTTAATTCATTTGGTAGCCAAGACCGCATTTATTCCTTATCTTTCAAGTTTTTTCATCCAATATTTATATATTATTTTAGTCTTATTATAATTAATGGGAAAAACAACCAAGCCTTCTTTTTTTTTCTTTTTTTTAGCATAAATATAACATTGCTTCAACATGCTTTTGGCACCATCCATCAAACACATTTCACTCTCCATTAACCCCTACACATTCATCTGACTAATGCTCATTCAACCCACAGATGCAACTGCATTAATTCCAACGTGATCTCATGATAATTTGTATGTATTTTATGTAAAATGTGGTTCTATAAAACTTACTTACGTTTTTACAGGTACTAAAACATACAATACTGACGTATTTTCAGCATCTAAATGTACAAATACTTACGTATTTTCGGCATTTAAACATACAAAACTGATAATTCATAGAAATGTATCATCCTCTCTTTCCTCCTCTCCCAATTTCTCCTCTTCATTAAGAAGGTCATGGGTCACATTTGCAATAATTCAGTTTAAAGAATGCACAGTTGCATGTGCTTTTTGAACTCGACTCTCTGCTTCCTCAGGAGAAAATAAGGTTTTCAAAAAATGAGAGTTTGAGGCTAGTCAATCAAGATCTGCAGCGAACGGTACATGTGTGTTTAGCAAGAGTGGCCGTTTTGAGCTCTGAACATCTTAATAGCCCATAATGAATGGTTTCCTGAGAATAGCAACAATGCGAAATGAACTCGGCAACCCATGTTTTCAGAAATGCAGGAAGGCTTTTTTTATTCCCAGACAGACATAGATCAGCAGTGCTGGACTGAAGGGTTGCGACTTGTCTGTCCTGATAAGATTGCGCACAGCAGGGGGGAAAATTATGCTAAATAGGCCTACTAATAATTAAATGCAATTGATTATATAATTATGGATAGTTAAAGCAACTGGATGCAGCTTTGTTTATTTTTGCGACTTTAGAGCCCCCTACAGTTAAGTGAGTTCACGGTTGCAAATACATCACTATGGTAATTATAGTGGATAGCTGTATTGATGTAGCTGGAATTTCGCACCCGGTCGAATTATGTACTTCAAAAACAAACTTTGGCGGCGGAAAGTTGGAAATAAACAGAAGCCATTCACCTAGAAGTCAGTGTACCATCAGAATGAAATTAATATTTCAAGGTAATAAACTTATAAAAACGTATAAAAAACTATAAATAATATAATTTTAAAAAGGAGGAATCCTTTCATAATTGTTACTGACATCACAAGCTGTGCATACAACTATTTTGGTGTGTCATTGACTCTAAACTAGGTAAATACTTGGGTATTACTGAACATATGTGTATTATAATGCCATTTATAGCACATAGTGCACAACATCTTTTGTAATAGCTTAACAACATGTGCAATGTTACTGAATGCATTTTAAAATAAGTTCTTGCTTTAACTGGGTAAACAGAACAGCCCTGCTGAACCTCACTATCTCCATCCATGTCTGCAGCAGTGTATTTTAATCAGGAGGCACATAACCTGAAAACCAAATTTAAATCTCCGTGTCTATTTTGAGGGCGGTATCGCTCTCACCGTCTCTTGGGCCCCTGGTGCACTTATATGTGGGTTAGAGGGAAAAATTACATCTGCCTGTGCTCAGGACATTGAGAAAGGCCAATTAGTGCCCAAATCTGACATATAATACTCCACATGTTTGCTATTCCTTAACAAGCACTGAAATCTTTCAGCTCATTGGAGTCTGAAGCGCAAAGTATGTCCTTCAACAACCAAGCAACTGTTTAATAATTGAAAAGTCTATCATAAAATATTATTCCTGACAGGTTTATACAAACGCCCATAGCAGCCCATAATGTAATATTAATCAAGGTCAATGAAGAAATTGAGACACATTATCATTTAAAATGGCACTATGGCACCACCTTATGGTATAAAGGCGTAATTGCATAAAATGCATTGGGATTATATCACTTTAGATAAATATATTAAAGCTATACTACTCATAGATGAAGAGTATAATTCCCTATATAATTCCTTAATCGCGTTAGACTGTGTGAGATATTTTCATTTCTGCCAGTCACACTGTTGTGGGTTTTCTAATCCCACAGGGATGTAAGCATGTGAGACTAATCTATGTGAAATGTCAGAGATAATGTATGGAAAAGATGCCTTTAAAGTGCCAAACGCAGCCATGAGGAAAGGTTAGGATGCCTGCCACTGCTGCTGAAGTCTGAGCTTCACTGAATCATCAGGAGCACCAGTGAGACTTGAGTCTCCTTGCAGGCACAGAACTCCTGCAGAGCTCTGACAACTGCACAACTGACAAAGAGAATGGGTTGAAAAATGTATGTAGTCACATACAATAACAAATCATACGTACCCTTTTATTTTTGCCCTGCAATATTGACGTAACAACTGTAATATATTTAATACAATACATACTAATAATTGTAAGTATTATACTAGTATTATTAGCAAGTGTCTCTTTAATCCAACATAAATTTTGGATCTTTAAAAAGTCTATTCAAACAACTGAGTAAAATCACTGGAACAATCACACCTGACATTCTGCCTTTGAACAGTCACTCAGGAGAGTCGCTGGTGGCACTGTAGCCACTCAAGAAGCAGAAAAAAGGGTTCGGACTCAAATATTTTCCAAGAAGCTACTGCATTACATGTGAGGTTGCTGGTGAGAGCTGCACCTGAGAAACACGCTCATTTTTAGAATCTCTCATCTGTGATGTGTGAAAGAGCTTTCACACACTTTAGAAGTGTGTGTGAGAGGACGGGTGCAAATGTACTTCATATTTATGAAAAAAAAAAGAAAAATTGATTCCCTTCTATGTATAAAATGAGGGAAAAAGGTTCATACATTCATATATGCTCTTAGAGTTTGTTATTCTCTTACAATATATGTGTATGTGTACAGTACATAAATATAAAAATTCAGGGTCAGAAAGATTTCATTTTTTGAAAGAAATTAATACTTTAATGTAACAATAAATTGACATGTTAAATTTATCAAAATTACAGTAAAGATATACTAAAGATTTCTATTTCAAATAAATGTTGTTGTTTTTTTAAACTTTGAACATCAAAGAATCCTGAAAAAAAAAAATGTTCATGGTTTCCACAAAAATATTAAGCACTGATAATAATAATAAATGTTTCTTGAGCAGCAAATCAGCATATTAGAATGATTTCTAAAGGATCATGTGACACTGAAGACACATAATGGCTGCTGGAAATTCAGCTTTGCCATCAAAACAATAAATTCCATTTTAAAATATATTACAATAGAGTTCTTTTCATTTGTAATAATATTTACTTACTGTATTTTTGATCAAATAAATGCAGACTTGGTGAGTATAAGAGACTTATTTTATTTTTTTATCTTATTGACCCCAAACTTAAATGTAAAATATATAATTACATTACTTTAATGATGCTTTTATAGTCCTTAAAATGACCAGTGCATTCTTCAAAATTCTTCCATTTGTGTCACACACACACAAAAGTATACAGGTTTGGAACAACATAACAACCGCATTTCTTTCTGGGTCTCTTTAAGGAGTGAGGAAAGTGAGTTGATGGGAGTTCAGCTAGAACCCGTGTCACAGTGTCGGCTCACATCCTGCCATCCCTCAGGAATCGGTGTCTCATTCAGCACCCGCTGTGACACAGTCTGGCTCAAGCGCTCTCTGTCTTTCTCTCCTCATCTCTTCTCCCCTGTGTCACAGGAGCGTGAGTTCCAGCTGACCTGATGCTAAAAAGTGCGAGCGCTGGCCTACTTACACAGTAAGTGGCACACTCAGGGTTCTCTCAGGTCAGGCGCTGCTAGCACAGACACACTCATTTTAAGACGCACTAAGAGGACTCACCTGACAGACCAGCAACAAGCTCCTTCAAAGGCACTTCATGTACCTCTTTAGCCATCTTGCAAACATTACTCTCACAAAATGAATTTTTTTCTTAAGACTAGAGGAGAATGTCTGAAAGGATGTGTATCATGTTGAAAGAGTGAAAGAACAAAAACACAGACTTGTGAGTGCATAAGTAGTGCCTTAAGAGTCCCATTTCCCCCTTGAAAACCACTTGACCCTTGTGAAACCTCTTAATAAACGTACATAGCAACATCGTGAGGGAATAGGTTTGAGCTCAGAGACACGTTTTTAGCATCTTCATTGCTCTTTGATTGTCATTAACAACTGTGTGTCATTGTCCTGAGAAGCAAGGTGCTGGTAGAACGTGCCCTTAAAAGCGCTGAGTGATGCTAACAAACTCAGATTTGTCTTTGACCTCTGACCTTGTCAGCAGAACTAATTCCAGTTCAGTTTCCAGAAAGTTAAATTAGATGATTAGCTCTCAGAGGATTCCGGCGAGTCCCAACGAGCCAATCAACGATGACGAAAATTGCATCCTGTTGAGATTATTACGCAACAATTTTCAGCCAAGATTCCCTCTGGAAAGTCCTGAGAGTTAAATAAGAAAGTGAGCAGTCAATGTACACACAAATACATTGTGTATCTATCCAAAAAATATTTCTCTGATAAGGATAGTAAGTGGCCATGAAGAACCTTGAACATCCATGAAACCTTTGCAGTCCACAATATACTATATAAAAATAAAGGTTCTAAGAGAAGGTTTTCGTAACGATGCAATAAAAACAAAGAACCTTTCAGTAATCAGTTTTTAAAAGAACCATTTTTTTCTTAGTGTGAAAAATGTTTTAATAAACTAAAGAACATTTTTCCATTATAAATAACTTTTGTGCAATGGAAGGTTCCATGGATTGTAAAGGTTCTTCATGGAACCACTGATGCCAATAAAGAACCTTTATTATTAAGAGTGTAGAGTGGGAAAACATTCTTTAGATTGTTCTTTACACTAAGAAAAAGGGGTGGTTCTTTTAAGAACTGTTCACTTTGGGGAACCTAAAATGGTTCTTCTATGGCATTGCTGCAAAACCCTACTTTCGGAACCATTTATTTTTAGCCAGCACTTTTTCCCAACATCTGTTTCTATATGGGTGTCAAATACCTTGTTTTAACTCAATTTTTTAGGCAGAATCACATATATCTTTCTTGGAGTAAGAAAACCCAGAATGCATTGCAGTAAGTTCAGTGTAGAAAATCCAAGATGGTGGACGAAGAAAGAAAAACAAAGTCTAAATATACTTGTATATCATCTAGTGTTGTTTAAAATGAGTTCAGTATAATTCAAAGTAGGCTATTGTACTCAATATGTGTGTGCTATGTGTTTTCATGCCTTGAGAGTTGCGCTGTTAGCTTAGCGACATGCTAATGTAAAAATCCGTTGAGTCATGTCACACAGAGTTGCTGCCTAGCATCACTTATTACAATTAGGTTCCCTTAGAAGCTAGCTGCCTATGTAGGCTGTAGGCAGCTCTTGTTTTGTCATATGATTTATGTTGTTTGCTTTGCTTTTTTAAAGATGTCAAATTAAACACTCAAATGTGTAAAAATTAAGCCACAATGCTAACTGATCAATAATGATTTAATTGTGTAAGAAAGCAAAGATGGGCTTACCTTTATCTGTGCCTTCAGCTCTGAATATCATTATTCTGTTGATGAAAATATGCATTAGTTACATACATATATACATACATATGCATCAGTGTTATTTTAGCCTATTATTTATATACTATTATAATATTTGTTATTTTGTAAAAGCTTATATTTTTATATGTTCAGTTTTCATTTTCATTTTATTTTTTAGTAATCAAGTAATTTTGTTGCACTGTTTTCTTGCAAAGTTGAAACTTTTTTATTTCTATATAGCTTTAATTAGTTCTTATTTCAGTTTTATTTTTAGTAGGCTAATTTTAGTATTTCAAAAATAGTTTTTCATCTAATTTATGTTTGATTTTATTTCAGTTTTATTTCAATTACTGAAAATGATTTTAACAAATTTAGTTTGTTACCTATAACAACACTGATGATGTGTTTCCCTCACACACACACCTTTAGCTTTGTTAGCACTCTTTTTGGCCCTCAGCACTTTCCGCTTTCCCTGCGGAGGGATGTTTCTCCAATTAACACATCCCAGAGCCTCCAGGAACAACTCACCCAACACACACACACACACACACACACACACACACACACGTAAAGTGTCTCAACTCACACTACAGTACTAAATATAATTCATTGCTTTAATTTAAGATTTTTTTAAGAATTCTCCACGTCTCTGTTAATTCTTGACATGAGACCAGAGAGAATTGAGGAAATTGGTTTCCATTGTGCGAGTAATGAGTTTCAGGAAGAGGAGGCCGATTCTTAGGACATTGAAGAAGCTTCATTCTGACTGCATTCACACTTACACTTCCTCAAGCCTTCTTTCTCTTTTAAAATGTGTATGTCTCATTAGATTAACAAGGTAAGGAGAGAAAAAAATGGTACAAAAGTCACAAGTAGGTCTATTTTCGACTTAGAACACCATGTCACTTTGTAAGTTCACAGATAAGCACTGTTCCTGTTTAAGATGGCATAAATTTAACACTTCAACTGAGAGATTTGAACAGCAGAACATGCTCTGACTATTACTACACTGACAACAATTATGTCATCATAAAAAATGCATGCTGGATTGTGATTTTGTAATGTTTTGTCTTACATCTATTTGTACACTTCATTGTAATTACTCTTTTGTTTCTTGCATCTATTTAACCTTCATTAGGCACATGTTCTCTGTTTTGATTGTCTAACACTGATTGTCAAAAAAGGGATTTACCTTTTCTTTCATTAGCTAAAACCTAAAATATACATTTTGCTGCCTTGCAAGCACTGATTTTTTACTTCTGGACATGCATTTGGTGTTTTCTTTTTTTAAGATACCTGTGGAAGTGCATGCAAAGCTGGGCTTGTTTCTCACCTTTGTGTGTGGAGGGTGTTTGTCCGGTGGCCACATTGCTGATGTCGGCAGGTAATCCCACATACACTCCACCATAATTCCTCCTCTTCTCATCATCCACAGACGAATTGTCCTGCCTGTGGGCCCAGAACCAGAACAGAACCAAGAGATGATCCGATGGGCTGATGTAAGAGGCGAAAAACAAAACTTAGAAAAGTTTGTTGCTTTATTATCCATATTACTGTGAAACCTTCAGGGTATATTATGAATGATTACATTTGAGTGAACAAATTTTGACCATCATATCTGGCAAATTGTTTGATTCATTAAATCTTTAGGGGTCATGCATCAAGAGATTATCCTACAGAGAACCTTGATTAGAAGCTCTGAGAATTTGATTAGCAGAGCTGTCACTGTATTAACAGTATTGCAAATCTCACATTGGTTTCAAAAGAGACTTGTGAACATGTATGATGTATCAGTGATAGTGTGTTATTGTGGTGTGTGTGTGTGTGTGTGTGTGTGTGTGTGTGTGTGTGTGTGTGTGTGTGCGTGTTTTAGTGGCAGTGAAGGCCCAGATATGTGCGTGCAAGACTCTCTCCTGCTGTGTGGGTGCTTGTTTTTCAGATGTGAGAGAATAATTCCAGGAACTGTTTGGAAAATGACAGGCAGTGTTCAAATCCCCACTATGTTTTTTTTTCTCAGAAGGGAAATTGATTGACAAGCAGTTCCAAAAACTGAAGGACACTGCAAGGATTACTAGAATCTTTCCTCCTGTTTATTTCATTCTCTCTCTCTGAAGTCAGAGCCTTTGAAAAAAAATCAAGAGATTTCATAAAAATTTGTCACCTACATTTTTTGTGAAAACTGTGGGTTGCACAGTATATTTTGCTGTTCTGGCAATACTCACACATCTTTGACTGACTCAGATGGACCTGTAGAAATCAACAAAGACACAAATTAGTCATGCCACATGCTCCTTGACCGTAAAATATACAGTATATACACTGTGAAATTGTAAAAGAACATATTTATTTCTCTCTGGAATCTGATTCATCTGCTTAACCTATATAAAAACACAATCCCACATTTAGTTTGAAAGAAAATTGATTGATTAAAAATAAGTGCAATTAATATGTCATTAATATGTTATTACAATGTAATAAAGCTATAATAAAAGTGTCGTCAGTCAGATTTTCGTTCACTGGTATGACGAGACCTCCGTCCAATGTCTGGCAACTACAGTTCTTTAAGTTAAGTGACAGGTGGTTATGTGTCTATTAATAGCATACTGTTTATGAATGCAAAAATACATATTGGCTGGCTCGCCACAGAAATATTAGACCATAGTCTTTACATACATCATTAAATTACAATCAATCAATCATTAGATTACATTATGTACTTTGATAAATATTATAACTTGAAATAAATGGAAACATCTGTATTGATATGGTTAAAAATCCATGAATTCCTGCAGACACAAGTCTGATTTACAATGCAAATAACATCTCTTCATCACCCTGTAATGCTCAAAATGCTATTCAAAATGACAGTGTGTTTGATGACTCCACTAAGACCCTCACAAAGCGCTTCATATCGATTCATGCCCATTCCTGCCACGGCTCCTGTTTGTTTGTGTGTGCGTACCCATGTGAGATGACTCATACTGAAGCACTGTTCAGACTGCCGTCTAACTCTGCTGATTTTTGAAGAATGACTGAGGACAGAACGTTCACACACACACACACACACACACACACACACACACACATATACACTGTATATATATATAATATAATCCGACATTATCAACATATATTAATTAAACATTTGCTAACAATTTTTTGATTATTCTGTTCTGTAGTTTTCTTAGTTTTGTTAATCTAATTATTATGCCTAATTGATACTCTCTGTAATATGTTTTTCTTGTTGGTTATTTCTTAAATTTGTTTATTGAAATGAATTTCTATTTGTCCCACACTCACAGACACGCAAACACACACGCACACACAGACACACACACAGACACACACACAGACACACAGACACACACAGCCGAGAGAGACACACGTCAGTCTCGTAAACGTTCACGGATCATGCAATCCCCTCACAGCGGAGCAAACAAACACCATTCATGAATATCATTTAGCCTCAATGGATCTCAAAGCACAAAACACCTGACTGCACTCAAAGAAAACCATCTTTATTTCTAAGAATGTGTGAATGATTCAGATGTGTGAATGATTCAGTCCTGACAGACACTCCGATCTCCCATTCACAACATGAGAGCATATGGCCAGCAGCCAATGGTTAGTGGAGGAGAGAAAGATGACTGGATGGCTAAACATGAGCAGACATGGGCTTGTTTACAGAGCCCACACACACCAACAAACAGACTCTCACACACACACACACACACAGAGACGTGAAGGCAGAAAAGCAGCACACTTACCTGCAGCTGTGCTGGCAGAGGTGGAATTCCCACAGCCCATGCTTCAAACTTTGTCAAAGTCAATCAAAGAGATGGAAAGAGGAGAGACAGACAGTGCTGAGGGCAATGAGAAGGGAAGAAGAGACAGAGATTACTGGAATTCGAAGGGAGAAGGATGAATGGAGGGATGAGGAGAGAGTGAGGATGAGGGAAGTGCGGTCTGATGCCTGAGTCTGAATGTGTCTGAGCTGCTATACTTCCTGCACTTCCCTTGTGTCTCAGAGAGAGAAAAAAAAAAAAAGATAAAAATGCTAATTAACATATGAACATGTATGTTAATATGCTAACATAATAATAATAATGCATTTATTTTTAATAATTAAGACATTTTCCAACAAAATTTGAATTTTAACAGTTGAAATAATTAAAAAGAAAAAAGATAATATATGAACATGTACAATATATTAATATGTAATATATGTATATGTAATCATAACAACAAACTTTTAATTTTAGTGAGTGAGTGTGAAGTGATTATTTTAATAATCTTAAGACATTTTCAGCACCATTTTTGCATATAATTAATAATAAATATATTAACATATAAAGTATATTAATATTTAATAAATATAACAACAATACTAATTTTGCAGCACAATATATTTTGCATTTGGCATTTTATGATGATTATTATTACACTCTAAAAAATGCGTTGAAACAACCCAGCATTTTTTAGAGTGTATTATTATTATTATTAAACAATTAAAATGATAAAACAGTGCAAAATGTAAACCAATATGTTTTTGTATGCTTTGCAACTCGCACATTATTACTACTTCTAACCATAAATATTAACATATAATGATAATAATAATAATACTTTAAAATGATAAAAAATAATAATTATTCAATAATTTTAAACAAGTGTAAATGTGCATTGATATTTTTTTCTGGTGAGGACATTGACTAATTATACATGCTGCTCTGGGCTGAAATGGGCCTCGGAGTCGTGTACAACACAGAACAGAAAAAAAAAAAAACAGGACATTTTGCAAAAAACGGCTGGAAGTTCTGACCTATGCCACAGAGTACTAGAAAAGACTCAAGATTACAGCACAGTGCACATTATCTGTTATCTGTGTAAGATTGTTCGTATTAACTCAGATTTGCAAGATTGTCAAAAGTGAGAGATACAAGGCCACTTTAAAAAAATAAATAAATAAAAATCCGTGGTGGGCGTAAAAAACAATTGCGAGACGTAAACTCAGAATTTATAGTAAAAAAACTCAGAATAGTGAGATGTAGCCTAGGCCTAAATGTCTTGCATTTCTGTCCGAATTGTGAAATAGTCATAATTACTTTTTTAATTTGTTTATTGTTTTATCCCATGGCAGAAACTGGCTACCATATTTATCTGACTTAATGTGGACAGCAACTAATGATTAAATCCATCCTGAGACTTGTAAACATAGAGTAATGCTCTTATAATGGAAGCCTGTGGGGCAAATACACTGGAGGGTTTAAAATCAGAAAAGTGAAGCTTGGGAAGTACATGAATTATTCATGAAATATGCAAATTATTAGATCTGTAAAGCTGTCCGCATCCTTTTAAGGTTGATAGATTTTAGCCGCTAACTTATTTTCTTGCTCTCTGTGTATTCAGCCGGTAATGAGTCATACACTTGGCCTTTTCACAAGCGTTATACTTCCCTTCACCATGCGCCTCCACTTATATGTAGATTAAACTTCCTGAGAACGCTTAATGCTTTAGAGTCAGTCTACTACTCCATTTAGACCTTGGACTAGTCAGCGTTATTCTTAGTCACGGAATAAAAAAAAAATGCTGTTTTTATTTTGTACTTTCCCATTACAAGAGCAGCTGATGATATCGCAGGAACACTATTAATTGATTTCCCCCTCCTTTTTAGTCTAGAATGGGTGTAATGAATGATTTGGGCAGCAGAGGGCAGTATATTTACATTGTTAACAAGTGTCTATAGCTCATTTAGGCAAACATGTGATACTGGCCTTCTATTCCTGGAACAAAACACCAACATTCAAAATATACCTCACAAAATGGGGGAAAAAAGAGGTTCAAGAGGCAGAACCTCAAGAGGAAAGCACTTGAAAATAGCTGGAGAGTGAAGCGAACAAACAACTCCAGCACACAACATCTAATTTAATGTCCTTTAGCTTGTTGTCCTTCAGTAAATGGCATCACAGCCTCGTCTTTATGTTGGAGTTAACTCATATATGTCCATGTTCGCCCTGGAAGCTCTCAGGCCTTCAGGCAGGACCATTCAGGAGAAAACAACAATTAATGTCTACTTAAAAATAAAGTGAAATAGTTAATGGTGTGGAGGGGGCTAGAAGGAAAGAGAGAGATGGTTGTGCAATCCTCTCTTTGTATATATATATATATATATATATATATTTAAACTTTTTTACCATAATTGCTGTCTTCACATTAATCAGCAGATCAAGTGCACAAACAAATAAACAATTAAAAATGTTTTCATTTATCGCTCTAGTCACATGCTCATTTCAGTCAGTGTTCCTTGCAAACATGTAAAGAAAAAAATGGCTTCATTTGGCACTATTTTGTTGGCAGAGGAAAAAGAATACACAAGCAAGAGTGCTTTTATACGGAATATCAGCACATATAGTGCAACACCAAGTCCAACTACAATTGAGTTCCTGTAAAACAGTGTTATTTTACTTGTCTTTACATACTGTAATAGTCTTTAGCAATATTTTGATATGAGCTTTAATTTTTACATTTTCATTTTAAACTTAATTTTAAATTTTTAGATTTTTTTTTAATGCGATTGACATTTTGGTTAGTTTTTGTTATTAGTCTTTTTAAAATATGTTTCTAAATTGTTTAAAATTAGTTTGATTTCAGTTATTTTAGTCATTAAAATTTAATTTAGTTGCCAAAGCAACATTCAAATTATTATTTTTTTTTAGTTTTTTTTTGTGTTACATTTAATTTGAGCCTTTTTTCAATTAACGATAATGTTTTTAGTTGCAGTTTTAGTTAACAACACCACTGTGAAGTTACTTGTAGACATATTCATGCTGTAATATATTTTAGACTGGTGCATTCATTTCCTGGAAGGAACATCCAACACATTAACATTGACAGTAATGGCTTGGACATTATTCAGTACAAACCATTTACAGTCACTCCCACCTTCTGCAGTAAGTTAATGTGATGGCATCCTAATCTACATACATCACATCTACAATTTCTTAATTTAGTATTGGTCTCTAGACCAAAAAAATGCTTTCAAGTGCACTTTTTGGAATTGATTTATTGACCTTGTCGCCTCCAAATCTCAACATTTGGCCCATCAGTTGTCTTTTGTTGCTTGAAAACAAACATTTAGGGTGTTGGCCACTGAACAAACTCTGACTGCTAGGCTACTTAAATATTAAGGGACATCAAATGGACTATACAATACTAGTTAGTATGAATGTGTTTTACCACCCACGTAACAATAGAACAACTGATTAAAGCAAATTAAGAAAACAACTCACCCCAAGTCTTACCTTATCTCTGAAGCCATCTTATGAGGCTCAATATGGGATAAACATCTCTCGATTTGGCCCTGGAGAGTTTTCCGTTTTCAGACCAGGGCTATATTAGAAATTATTAGTGTTTAACATAATTTAACAGGCCAACATTTATAAAGTAGCAGCAAAGGGTTCTCACAAAAACACAGAAACATAACTAAGGTCCCTAATGCAATTTTAATGCAGACACAATCACCACACAATTGATCATTATTACTCATATTTGTAAGGCACTACCTGGTAAAGAAAGGCAAACAAGAAGCTTTACAATAAGCCATTTACACGGTCATAGCTAGACAACACAGAAGAACTGGCAGGAAGAGCGAGAAAAAGGAGAGAAGAATATGAAATCAGTCGGGCTATATTTACAGATCAAAGGCATTTCCTGCTGTGTCCATCATGCTCAGAATGGGCAGTGCCAGCCTCTGATTGGCTGTAGTGCGACTTTGTCACCGCCCACCAAAGGCAACACGAGTCACACTAGTAAAGTTCGTGAAGAAACAATATACTGTAGTCCTTCATTACCCCTTTTGTCATTACGCGTGTGAAGTGTTTGGCACATTTGAGTCAGAACATACAAGTAGGAAAAGCGTACCATTTACAAAAAATTACACAACTTACCATCAGCTGCCTTACCATTATATCTTTTTTATTAATTAAATTACACTTTAAACGAGATAATTTGATACACATAAAACAACAGAAGCTTAAGATGGTTGCGAACAGCTGCGAACAATTTATTTAAACTTTGGTAAGCTCTAAATAAAAAAATATAACATTAAAAAAAAAAGAATTTGAGTACCAATAAACTAAATGAAAACTCTATGATTTCATGATTTAATTGGCATACGAGTCGCTCTCAGTCCATACTATTGCTGTTAAGGCAAAGTCACGATCGTCCGTATTTCATTGTCACATTCAAGGAAATTCTCTACCATATGTGCGTGTTAAATATTTCTCAAGAAAGGCAATCAGCAATGCAAATCAAATATTGTTGATTTAAAATACAAAATCATAACTGTCATAAAATAAGGCAAGCCATGTGTCGAAGTGCACATATATAAACGCAAAGATGGTACAAAACATAAAAACGCAACTGCTGGATCAGACACCAAAGCAAAGGCAGATAAAGGCTTCCGTGGCCTTTGTTCCGAGTGTCTGTGTGTCATGGATCAAGTGTGCTGAGACGTGGACAGTCGCTCGACAATTATGGCCTGTTCTTTTGCGCTGTGGCTAAATTAGAATCTGACTTGATGACATTTCTGTACGCAATCACTGATAAAATACACTAAAAATACTTGGGAGGGACAAAAGAAGCACTGGCTCAGACGTCAGCATCACAAACACCTACACAAACCGATAGTGGTACCACAAACTGAACCGTGAGCCAATGGCGTCAAAGAACCCACAGGATATGACATCATCACTGCACAGGAATGAGAGTGGCACTTAAAATACACAGGAAAACAAAATAGTGGGCTTCCACGGAAACAATAATCGATCTGTTTTGTCTAAAGCCTCTCGCAGCCTTGAGTGTAAAAATATATTTACATATAACACTATTTTAATTCATCTACACAGGAAGAATATACTGAACATCTGATTATTGGCAGAGCAGAACACAAAAATAAATGCTGGGTTTTCATT